CTATGATTCCAGTGACAATGGCAGCGTGTAAGTAAGTAAGATTGGAGATGACTGTTATCCCAGATCTAACCCCACTGCTGCCAAATTCATACATTCTATCAACGTGTAGTGAAAGCTCACCTCCTCACCAGAAATAACCACGTTCTGTGGAAAGAAACCGCGTACAAATCGACGAATGACCTCGTCATGGACAACCATCAGTGGTTGCGACTGCTTGAATTCTATTTGAATTGAAAATATTAAATGGAGGAATGCACAGCGAAGGAAAACCGTAAATTACATCAAGATAAAAAAAATTGTTGGCGGGAAAAACCAAATTATCAGGGGGTTGCATTCATTCTAACCGTTCATGCATTGTCTGAGCATTGATGCTGGCGAAATTGCACAAACCTATACTTACCAAAGGACCGTGGATGCTACTACTTTTTTTAGTCCTCCATCAGAAATTGGGTTCCGCATTGAGCCAACTCTTTCTTAAATGAACAGCTATCTTCAGCTGCCCAAAATATGTATAACGTTCTGCGGCCGTTCTGAGATTTCTAAAAGACGAATCTAACGTTCGTTTCCAAAATGGAGATCTAATACGCGGTCAACGGACTGCAGCCATATGTGGGCCGCATTAGCTCCAAGGTGTTAGGAAAGCTTTGCTTTCTTAATCTGCAAGTAGGTTAGACCCCCTTGTCACAGCTATTCACAGAGGAGGTTTTTGCATTTGGCTGCGGCGTCCATGATAGATAATACTTTAAAGGCAAGGTTCGGGCTCAGACCCACCTGAAGCCCTTACCATGGCTAGAAGTGCTGGGTACGCAAGTGCAAAGGTAGCGCCACCTTTCTAAACGCGTCACTAGGACCCTAGGCGCCATGGACTTCTAACAGACTCCACCAAACTTAACATGGTCCGCCCACCGTTCGATATCTTGTCTGCGTCGCCACGTTGATCTGCTATGCTCTCTCTTCTCGGACTTCTCTACCACTCTCCGCGCTCACATTATCTCTCATCTCCCTGCCTGTCTTTTGAACTTCTCCACAGCATGGAGCAAAATGCTCGTATTTCCTGTGTATTTCAGGATTTTCTTTCCTTTTTTCTCCACTGGCGGTCCACCTCCCATCCCTACTTTCACATTTGAGTGGAATCACCTCATCAATTTAATCCTGATTCTTGCCTTTAAGTATGAAACTATTGTGCGGATGGTTCGCTTTTTCCGAGTTTTTCGTGGGATTGTCGAATTCGAATCCGCCTAGAATTTGCGTTGAAGAGCGTGTAGTAAATGCTTGCAGTAGCACAGATGTGCTCTAGACACTCTTCCTCAACTTCAAGAGGAGTGATAGCTCTCCTCGGGTGCACCCCTCGCGCGTCACTTTTCATTCTTCCCAATAATCATGCACTCCTAGATCAATGCAAATTCAATGACAACATTTTGACGACGATAGACAAATGATGCGAAAGACAGTTCCAGTCTTTACTGTGCACGTAATCAGGCCGCCTATGACTGGACGGCAGGAACCAATGCAAACCCCAGACACTTCAGAAAAATTAGTAAATCAGTCTGTTAGAAAACGGATGACCGCCTTACCTTCTAGGTTGTGTGAATGCCAAGATAACCACGACTTCCGAACGCCAATGTGATGAGGCTTCTGTGCCATTTCGTATGTGAGCAGCCGTGACCGATCAACCGTCGCCTAAAGAAGAAAATACGGAGTCGAGTTTCACAAATCAAAGGGCTATCCACCGGACTGTTGGTGAAAAATAAGCAGAGCGCTTGTGCTTTTCCTTAACACATTCAAGCCAACCGCAGCCTACATGGCGCGAAGTGAGATCGTGAGACGATGGCAGCCCATATGGGCTGCCACCCAATGATCGCTTGCCTGTCGATTGCCTCCTTGCTTTTTGGGGGTATTTCTGATATTACCGAATAAAATAGGGACTAATACGTAACCATCAACAAAAGGAATAACCGAAAGGTTATAAGCTTCAATTGAGGGAAGGTTTTTCTGAGCAGTATGATATTCTTGCTATGATTAATTTCTTTTTTTTTCGTTTATTGCCGCAAACATGTGAATGAAAAGAGCGCTAGAAATAAAGGCAAAGCGCATGAACGTCAAGATATGCGCTTTTGTTAAAAGATCGAGTTAAAAATGCTTTTAACTTTTATTGCGGGAAAAGTGAAGAAATTCTTTTTTCATTACCACTGCTCATCGTTTTGATCGAAATCCTACTGTTATATGTTTAGATAATCTTTACGCATTGGACATTGCAGAAATTATTTTGTGACATTCATGTTTTTGTTCATTTACAAACAAAATCTGCGGTTATGTGGTGAGGCGGCGGCGCCCACAAAATCGCGTCCGTCCCACGCGACCGAAAAGTGGAAAAAGGGCGCCGTCGTGGATGTGTTAACCACCTTGAACATCGAGAATTCGAGGGAATTCGTACGAGTGGAATAAATAATTTTCCTGGTTGTAACTCATGGATAGGAACGACAACCCATAGCTCCTTATGGGGTCCAATGCCACGCGTCGTCTGACTGCCTAGACTGCTTTCGGCGGTGTGGAATGTGCAGACAATACGAAGAACGCCAGCATAGAATGGTGGCTCATGATTTGAGAGGCTAGCTTTTAACTGAAGAGGCATTCCTGACCGCGTGCTGAACTTCTGTGAGAGCATTTTACAGGGTGGTCCAAAATTATGAGGACCGCGTGCACGCGCAGTCATTATACACTATCAGAGAAGCCCTTATGAGCAACAGTTCAACTCTTCAATAAGTTTGGAACCACCACAGATGGAAAATTCGGGGACTCGAAAGTTACAGTTACCACCAGATAATTATCAGATGCAGAAACTAGGTCTCCCCTTGTCGACTTTCGTACACCCAAAATGAAAAAATTGATGTGAAAACCCAGCCAGACACTCTAAAGATCCAAATCTGTAGGGGATAGAAAGCCACACGAGTAGTCTACTTGGGACTTCTTACAGGACCGAGCACCCAAGAATAAAGCAAAAATTCTCTAAAAAGCGATTTTTCGAGTTCGTTGCTTTCGAAGAATTGTTACAATGGAACCTCCTCTATATTTCTGTATTTTTCACCCTGGATGCAAGCGCAAATAAATGCCCCACAAAGCTTTGATTCCCTGAAGAAGGCAGAGCAGAAGGCCTGGAAACATTTGGACACGCCTCAGTTGCGTGCCAGCGCACGCGCCATCCCCTTCATCTGAAGGCTCGTGTGAACGGGGCAGGTGGCAGATCTCAATTCTATTCTGGAATTACTTTGAGGTAAGAGTTAGAAATACTTCCCTGAAGTTGGTTTGTTCCATCAAGCTACTATGCGTTTTTAACGACACAATGTCTTGGTCCTCATAATTTTGGACCACCCTGTATATTGGCTTTCGTGCTTGTGCACACAGACCGCACTTCCCACACCGGTGCGAAATACGAAGGCGACTTCAAAAAGCCTGCTCGAATTAACGAAAAAAGCCATGCTGACGAAAAGAGTACTCTTGAAGCGGTTTTCCACGCCTTTGGGTGCAGAATACGAATTGACATTTCATTTTCCATTTATAAACACTGTTGAAATATACATTAAATAGAAAGCACCGTGCAAAAGTTGCAAACGTACTCTGTATTTCCCAGCCTGGTTTTTATCAAGGCGTGAAGATGTAGCAATATCTCTTCTAAGTATTGCCGAGAGTGGACGAAGCGGAGAGCAGTACGGCCACGAAACATTCCTCACCACTGCAAATCATAAACTGATCCAGGATAAATGATTTCGTCACTAGGGACAGGAGGCGGCGCCGCCGTCAAATAAGATGTACCGCCGCGACAATGCACACACTGCGCTATACCCTACGCGCAAAACGTTTGAAAAATGGGGTTAACCCTTTGAAGACAATGCGGATTTGCACGTAGCGCCCAACTCCCGCACAACATGGGGCAAAATTGTCCCCAAGAGCAGTTTTCATGAAAATTTAGGCTTTGGGCAGTATGCAAGATATGATTGCAGTCTTATGCTTTATGATAATGTATTTGTCGGAGTCAGAAGTGGAAATTCGGAAAGAGAACTCGCATTTCAAAGGGATGGTGGTATTAAACTCTTACTTTCATATGTACAGTAGAAGCTTCGATACAGTTCAAACTCCTAATTGTGTCTTAAAGACTCTGAATGATGTAGAGGTCCTAACCAGTAATTCATCTTAAGCTCAATAATGTAAAACACTAGTTAATATGTTGCCGAGTGAACTGCCACATTCTAAAAGTTCATATAAATTAGCTAGTATTAAACATTTCCTGTAAAATATGCTAAACATAAGCCACGGAAGCTTGCTTATAATTACTGATCGCGCTCGGTTATAGCGGAGCCACGGGTGGGTGCCATTGTCGTCGGGTTATAGGCTTGGAGCTTTTGGTAAATATGGGTATGATCTCTCGGAGACGGAGGAACATTGTGCAGTATCGAACCGATTTCGTGTGGCGAATGCGTTTGGATCATAGTCACGGTACGCTTGCTGAATTATGACTGGATGGCTTCTGTGACTCATTTGTCATTTTGTTGCCTGGCAGTGCATCTGAGATTGTGCCGTGGTGTCTTTTCAACTCCATTTCCTTGCCAGTATCTTGGATCTCCTGTGTTACTTTCTTGCTCCAAGAGGTCAAGGTTATTTCTCCTAATGTTATTGTGTTGCACAGATTGGTTGTGGGCGCTCATCCAGTAAGGGGGGGGGCATCAAGTGGCTGCCCTCACCCCCACCCCCCTAGACTGCCTACACTCCCCCTGGCGCACAGGTTTCTCGAAGTACGGGACCCCGTGAGCCAGGGGGAGTGAAGCCAGTTCAGGGGGTGGGGGGTGAGGGCAGCTATTAGACGTTGCATCACAATGCCCCCCCTTACCGGATGAGCGCCTGGTTGTGTTCTGGATTTGTTGTAATCAGTGACTCAGTTACTACCCAAGTGATGTCAAGTGACTGCCCTAACCCCACTGTTCAGTAATACCCTTTGTGCACCAGTGGATCCTAAGGTGGCGGTCTACGCAGGAGTCAACCTTTCCCCTCAGTAAGACTGTGAATGGCCACTATATTCTTCTTGAGGTTTCCAATCGCAAGTTGTAGACCTCACCTTGTCTTTCACTGCACTGTACTTTACTATGTGTCACAGTTAAGGTGTTTCATGCACTCCTTTGTATGTTCGGCCTCCACCTGGCTCGCACAATGTTCCTCCGTCTCCGAGAGATCATACCCATATTTGCCAAAACGCTCCAAGCCTTTAACCCCTTTTTTCAAACGTTTTGCGCGTGGGCTATAGCGCAGTGTGTGCATTGCCGCGGCGGTACATCTTATTTGACGGCGGCGCCGCCTCCTGTCCCTAGTGACGATCAATTTTTGATAAATCGCGTTGGCTATGAATGAATGCTGTCTGATATCGACTCGAAAAATGGGAAGCTTGGACAAACTGAACGAAAGTGAACACAATCCCCAGCCAAAGGCCGCGGGTGCGAACGGCATTTACCACTGCAACACCTTCTAACAATACTGACCACCTGAAAAAATCCCTTAACGGATTGTACCCAGAGAAAATATGCGGTACATAGAGCTAGAGTGGACGTTAATCACCCCCACATCTGCAAGTGACTAACAAGGAAAGGATGGTAGGTCGAAGTGGCCGTATAAAATGAGATGTATACCACCTGATGCGTCTCTAGACGCTGATTCCAAATCTGCCTTCCAAATCTGCTAAACGGCTCTCCGAACGGAGTTATGAAGCGTAATAGCTCAGTGGTGATGGTCCGGGGTGGCAGGTAAAAGCTCGTAGGATCGGTTCCTTTGCAAGTTTGTTGCTTTGCTTTTGTCCGCAACACTTCTAGAGACAAAAGCAAAGCAACCAATTTGCAAGGAGGACCGATCCTACGAGCTTTTACCTGCCACCCCGGACCATCACCACTGAGCTATTACGCTTCATAACTCCGTTCGGAGAGTCGTTTAGCAGATTTGGAAGGCAGATTTGGAATCAGCGTCTGGAGACGCATCAGGAGGTATACATTTCATTTTAACGGCCACTTCGACCTACCATCCTTCCCTTGTAAGAATAGAGGCTACACCTGTGCTCCAAAAACGTGCCATGAAAGGGCATACTCTGGGGCCGTATGCTGAATGTTGGGGAGGGGACGGGGATGGGGAAAGGTTGGGGAGGTTCGTCGCAGGACCCACTGGGCAACGGTCGCACCTTTGATTTTGCAGCTTTGTTTCCATCCTTTTACTGTTCCTGATTGTATATTCGCACGTAAATACCTTTCTTTATCCAAAAACAGCGATGAAAGAATGGAAACAAAGCTGCAAAATCAAAGGTGCGGCCGTTGCCCAGTGGGTCCTGCGACGAACCTCCCCAACCTTTCCCCATCCCCATCCCCTTCAGCATATGGCCCTGGGGTACTTGGACTACAGGCAATAATATGTAGGTCGAAAGGGGTGAACCTGGAAAAACTGGAGCAGTTGCTAACCGTTTCTAACAATTAGCTTCCGATTCACATTGTGGTGTAACTCGAAACGGAATAACTTCGGATATCCTTCTTCCACATAATAACATAATATAAACTTGAAAATAACCTCATTTCTAACTAGCAAAGGTCTCGTAATAAGTATTGATATACACTGACCAACAATAAGCTTGTAATAAAGATTCTCAACCCGCAATTTCCTGGACTTCCAAGTGCGTCTATGTGCAGTCCCCATCGAACTCACTGCCGATAATCATTTTCTCACCAAACCGCAACACAGTGGCCCAGATTATTACATACATTACTCCGTCATGATGTATATGCTTCTGTGATTATCAACACATTGTTTTTAGGATAACTACAACAAGTCAAAAGAATAGTTTATTGTACAAGCGTTACAATAAAATGCTCTTAATAAAATGCCTAGGTAGGTGTCAGAGTTTGCGAAGAATCGCTAGCGATTGTGGAGCGTTTCGCAGGCTATTCCAGGCCACTTAATCACGTTGTCGTACCTCTCAAATCGCTATCGACCTAGTCGTAAACTCTGACGCCTGCC